TGCTGTCCTCCCCCTTCATCCCCTGCGCTGCCATCTTCTCTCAGTCTTCTGGATTAGTTGCCTTGGGTCTCTAGATTGGCCTGAAGGCATGAAGTGACTCCTACGCATGTGCATGGGAGTTACTACTTCTCGGCATGCCAGATCAGTGCACAGAGAAAATAAATTGCTGATTGGGGGGGGTGTTCCGGTATTGTCACGCTAGAGGTTATGGGGGCAATTCAATAAAGGCTTTGTACCATTTGTTACATAAATGATAGGCCCATTTCTAATGAAGGTCTTTGTTTACTTTGAGGCAAATATTGATAAATGCCAGCTGCAACCAAAATCTTTTGTTTTGGATAGAGTGGAGAAAGGACACAACCTCTGTCAGGCTTTTATTTCCATCTGTGGGGAAATTTCTCCCCACTTCCTTTCAGAACAGCAAGTGATGGGAAATCTCTGCAGTGGAAATGAAGATTTTTATTTTAGTAGAGTCAGGCAGGGTTAGAGCATTTTATTTTTTTTACAACGTTATTGCTGTCTGTGGCTTCTTGTGCTGGTAACACTTTCACCAGACATTTTGTTGTATGTTTGTCACAGTGACAGGAAGTGAGGAAAAATCTCCCCAATCGGGTCACAGACAGAAATAAATAAAACCTGACAAATGTTAACCCCACTCTGTCCTAAATGGGGGAACAAATTTGGTCTTGGGCTTTAAAGAGGACTTTATCCCCTTTGACTAAAAATCATATCAGCATACAGCTCTGCATGCTGATATAAAATCATCTTTCATTTATTAGTTAAACATATTTGTATTTTATTTACAATTTCTTTTTGTTCGCTTTGGTACAAATCATGTAATTGTGTCCAAGCGTTGCATTCTGGGAAGGTTAAATCAGCAGAGCATTGCTGGGAAATCTCATTTGTAATCTCACAAGATCTCGGGGAAAGGCATTTTCCTCCCTGGAGATGATGTGCGTGGTCACATGTCTTAGTCACATGTGCCAGAGTTGCAGGAAGTAAAGGGGAATCTTCTAATATGGCCTTAATAAAAATGGCCACTGTGATTAGACTGGGAAAGAAAAATAAGGTATGCAGAGAATACAAAGCCTGCAGTTATCTAGAAGTATGTGTTTGTAGATTGTCATTACTAAACATTTCTAAAGGGGCCTTTTGTTATTTTGAAGCTATGGGTAAAGGTCCACTTTAAGGTAAACGATAAGAATCCACTTTTGTTGTTTTTCTTTAGTTTGCTTGTTTTGTAGTAAATACATCATTTCAGAAAGTGTGATTGGTTTAGTGTGGCTTGTACTTTCTCATACATACCTTTTTGGATGTTTTATTCTGTTGTTGCTGGGAAGTTCAGTGTTTGCCATAAACAGTGAGTCACCCCGTACAGCTCTGTGTATTGACGAGATGCTCAGCGTGATCCAGTATTCACGGGTGATTTGAGGCTTGGTGTTTCAGTTTCTCATTGTGTTCCCCATGATGCTTCAGGAGTTCTCCAAGTTTGGGCAGGAGTAGCTTGGATGAGTGGACTGTGATATTTTTAACAGTAATATTGTCTTTGCATTCCTTGTGAATGACTCCTGCGCCACGGCCCCTTCCATTGAATCATCAGCCACCTAACTCCATTACTGCTACTATTGGCTAACTGCTGAAAACCAGAAATGGTTTTCAAGCAGAGATCGAGTGCTTTCACTTAGTGATTGCCAAACGTAGTGTTTGTGCAGAATTCTTTACCAAAGCAGGACAAAGGGCAGTGATGATGAGTGTGGAAACCCATGGCAACCAGACATAAAGTGCAACTGAAGCCAAAACGTTTTTCTTTAGTTTTGAATAGAGTAAAGCTACTTTTTTTCCGTTCAATCCGCAGGCTGAACAAAAAAATAGAGCAGATTCCTCCATCAACACTACGAGCATGTTGGTCGAGGAATCCCCACTGGCCAATGTTAGAATAGATCATTGGCTCTGTTCGTTCAAAGATTTTCCGACTGGCTCCTTCGATCAGCCGTGCGAGTTCATCAAGAACCGGCCGACATTTGCACAGTGTATGGCCAGCTTAAGGGAGGGTTGTCGCTCCTGTAAGTTGTGTTTGTTTTTTTTTCTTCTTCAATCTGTAATGGTATTTCCCTTTCTGCTCATTAGCTACAACAGGAAGTGAGGAAAATCCCTAGTGGTCAGCAGGGTGATCAGAGCTAGTGCCCCTATTGGAAGATTTCCCATTCATTCCTGTTGTGGTGACAACACACATTTCTCGCGGTGAATAATGCTCACCAGTGAGTGAATCTCCCTAACCGGGACACAGAACGCAATAAGGTTTTCTAACCCCTCTCCACTCTATCTAAAACTAAAAAAAAAAAAAGTGTTGATCTCAGTTGCACTCTGATCACGTTAGTTTTAGGTAATAATAGCTGGAATA